TGAACAGATGCAGGAGGATTAAATAGAACAACAGCAACAAAATCCTTGTACACCTACCTTGAGTAGCTTTTGATATTTTCACAGGACAAGTGTAATATGTAGTCAGGCTCTGCCTCCTCTTTAAACAAGCTGAAGATTTTCCTATTAAGGAAAGAGTAATGAAACTCTCACCAAGGTTTATTTTTATACTTTTCATTTTCAACTGTCTTCTGGGGCAAGTTGAAACTAAATACTTCTGTGTCAAAGGGCTTCTTGGCTCTACTGTATTTGTCAACCATTAACTAAATAGTAAAAATTTGCCTCTTTTCTTTGTTACTGCTTTTAAATGTCAAGCTGTTATTTAAAAAAAATCTTTATGGCAATTGTCTCATAAATCTTTGCCCTTTTTAGTATTAGGCTTATTATTTAAAAAAATCAAACATCCTTTCACGAAAGGGATGGTTACCCAGGTAACATCATTCTGCTTCCCGTTCAACAGAACAGTTAGAATTTCATGGGTTCAGTGCACGTGTCAACCAATCTGAGCCCAGAAAAAGCAACGAGTTTGCCTTCAGAGCACTATAAAAAGGTCTGTTGCCAAGGTGCATCTGTAAGATTAAATGAATGTCTTGTGGATTGATTTCCTATTCGTTCTTCTGAAGGTATTGAAGGCTCAGTCTGGCCTCCCTCCAAAAGAGACAGATGTGTTGTATAAACGGCTGCATTTATCTTTCCTTGCTTTCTGAAATTTGGAAGAAAGCCAGATCTCTTGGTGAACATGCCAGGTTTTTTTCCCCTAAATAATTTCAGTAGCTAAAAGCTGGCCCAAGAAGTATAACTTCCACAGTCTGCATGATTTTGTTTATATATTTATTACTCTTATGCTCAGCTTGTTCCTTTAAAGAGAGTTCCCATGTAGTCTTCTGTTCATGCAGCTTACTGGGGAGCTGACTTGCTGTGGTTTCAGCAACTAGATTCTTTATGTACCTTGAGGAAGTCATCATGGTGAGCTTATGAAGCCTGTGACTGCTAACCGTTAAGTATGTCCTTGCTTACTATATGTGCATGATGATTGCCTTCTTAGCCATTCAGGATTAATATTTAGTCTCAACATCCTTTTGTAATGCGGTAGTATGAGCAGTAGTTTCACATTGGTAATGGAACACATGTTTGCACACACAGGTAAGGATGTGGTAGGTTGTCTCCTCTGACTCCCTCAAACAGTGGTCCCTAAGCCCACCCCCCATAATACCTACTATTGCACTTTCCCAGAGTGTTGTGAGGGAGGGTCTGTTTGGTCAGTGACACCACCTATGCTTTACAGAGAAAATGCCTCTCTATGCCATTATTCCAGAGGAAGGGAATAGGAAGATTTTCTATGCACTAGACCAATGGCTGGGGAATTCTGGGAGTTGGAGTCCACACATCTTAAAGTTGCTAAGGTTGAGAAAGACTGCTCTAGACTGTCTTTCTGTAGCTAGCAGAGTGGCTGGGATGTGTGGCAGGCTTACTTTCAAAATGAGACTGCTAATTTCAGAGGATTTATTGCAAATTAAGATTAGGAGTTAATTGAAAATGGAAGACTATGGGAGAAAAGGAAATGGAAAATCTCATGACTCATGTAGACTATGTTCCAGGAATGAAAACATATCTAAATATGCAGACAATAAAGGTAGAACAAACTATGACTAAGAATGCCAAGAAACAGCCCAAATCAACCCATAATATACAATTTTAAAAGGATCCTAATTCCCACTGTTCCTATTGCTAGACTTTAGGATTACAGGAGATTGAGCCATGTCTTTCCCCCAACGTCTTAGTCCTTTGCAGACTGGATCTCTCTTCTGTGTTCACATCATCATGAACTTGGCCAGATCATTACCAAGCAGCATAGTGATCCCTGATGGCACATTCCTATTCTTCCTTCCAACTTCTGGATTAGATGAGTACTTTGGCAAGGATGTCCTTTCTTCTGTTAGGACCCTTGGTGTACAAATCATGTATGCATCTGCCAGTGGGTGTTGCAGCACTGAAATATCTACACCTGTATCTCTCCTGGCCACCCACCAACAGGCTATTCACAGTCCTTGAGATTTGCCTTCCAACCAGAATAGCTTACTCATTAACACCCCTTTTAAAAGGTCATCTGAGAGAGAGGAACACTTCCTGTCCCCAGTCAGTTCCTCAGAGTTTCCCATGTTTTGCTGAAGTCTGCACACTGTCTAATTTGGCAGGTTTAGATTTGCTTGATTAATGTTTTCCAAACTCCTTGGAATGTTTTTCCTCCTGCTAACGTAACTTTCCTCAGGCTACTGTCCTCTAAATGTATTGGTCTTCAAGACCCAGAATTCCTAGCTACCTGGCCAGTGGATGGTTCACCATTGGCCATGTAACTATTAATTCTGGAGTTGGTCCAAGTCATCTGCAGGGTACCAGATTGGAGGAGGCCACTGTAGCCACCAAATCTGTTCAAAAGTTCCATCACAGGGTGGGTTGACCAGAGACTTTAGATTAGTACGTTGAAAAAAAGCTGCGAAGGGGATCTACATTCTTCATATATTGATGCAGCTGTGTAGTCTTTTTTCACAGTTTCTTTTTTTTTTAACTTAATAATTTTTATTAAAAGAAGATTTTACAAAGATTTTTAAAAACTACATAAACATTGAAGAAGAAATAGAGAAAAAGATTAATGGGTAAAAGAAAAAGTGAAGAATAACAAAAAAGCAAGAAAAAGAAAGATATCTAAAGAAGTGACTTCTGATCTTCTTTGCAGCAATTACAAACATAGTAATTACAATCTCCACCCTCCCATATTGCATATCATAGTTCCCTTCCTCCCATAAACAAACCTTTTTAATAAATAAATCTAGAAATCAGCAGATTTCATTTTTATCCATTTTCAGTAAAAAGTCTATAAAGGGTTTCCAGTCTTTTATAAAAGTAATTGTAGTTCTTGCCTTGATCAAACAAGTCAATTTAGCCATTTCTCCAAAGTCATCTTCACAATCCATTCTTCCATGATTGGTGTTTCTGTAGTCTCCCATCTTTGTGCATATAATAACCTCGCTGCAGTTATATATAAAACCAATCATCCATGAGCTTTTTCTAGCTGAGGGTCCATAAGTCCAATGAGAAAAGTTCCAGTTTCATCTGAATGTTAATTTTTAAAACTCTCTGCATCACCATATGTATTCGTATCCAGTATCTTTTTGCTTTTCACAAGTTCCCCATGCATGATAAAATGTCCCTTCATGTTTTTCGTATTTCCAAGAATGATTAGAAGTACCTATACACATCTTAGACAATTTCTCTGGTGTCATATACCAATGGTACATCATTTTTAAAAACTTTTCTTTTAAATTATAATACAGTGTGAATTTCAGATCTTTTAACCACATTCTCTCCCATTGATCCATTTGAATATTATAACCAAAATACTTGGCCCATTTTACCATACATTCTTTAACTTGCTCTTCCATTTTTTAGCAATCACTTGTTCATCATTTGTACATAATTCATTTTCAAATTCTGTTTTATCACATTCTATTTCTGGTACTTTTTTATCTATATTAAATCTTTCTCTTAACTGTGCATATGGAAGCCACTGAAAACCAAATCCCTCTGCAGTCAATTGTTCTCTTGATTTCATCTTAAGTTCTCCATTTTCCTGTGCTAGCAAGTCTTTATATGTTAACCATTTATCTTCGCCTGCTATTTCTTTTCTATCAAATGCTTCTTGAAATGAGGCCAACAGAGGTATTTTCTGGCATAGGCTGGGTTTGTATCTATTCCATATTCATAGTATGGCATTCCTAATATAATTTTAAAATTACATTAACTTTATCATACCATAAGTAATCATGCCATCCAACCTCAGACCATGATCTTCTAAATCTAAAATTCTCTTATTTCTTAACAATAGCCACTCCTTTATCAAAACCAAACAGCAGGCAGCAAAATACAATTTAAAATCAGGTGATCACAGTCCTTCTCTTTCTTTTGCATCTTGGAGAAACTTATATTTAATCCTTGGTTTTTTCCCTGCCATATAAATCTGGATATGTTTTTTTGCTACTGTTTAAGTGGTGCATTAGTTCGCAAAACAGGTATTGTCTGAAATAAGAATAACATTCTAGGTAACACATTCATGTTTACCACAAAAATTCTTCCCAACAATAACAATTGTAATTTCCCCATCTTAATAAATCCTTCTTAATTTCTTTCCATATTTTAATATAATTATTTTGAAATAACACAATTCATGTTAGTTAAAATGATACCCAAATATTTCACTTTTTTCTCAATCTGAAAACCAGTTTTCACAGACACTTCTTTTTGGTCCCCCATCTTCATATTCTTTGTCAATATCTTTGTTTTCTCCTTATTAATTTTAAATCCAGCCAATGTACCAAATTCTCTTAGTCTTTCCATTAATACATCTATCCCTCCTAAAGAGTTCTCCAAAATTAGAACCAAATCATTGGCAAATGCCCTTAGTTTATAAACTTCTTTTTAACTTTCACTCCAGCAATTCTCTCATCTTGTCTTATGTTTCTATTCAAAACTTCAAGAGCCAGAATGAATAACAGCAGAGAAAAGTGGGCATCGCTGCCTTGTTCCTTTCTGTATTTCACAGGGCTTGGTCAATTCCCCATTCATAAATATTTGTGCTTTTGTGAAATCTATATTGATTTCACTCAAGTAATAAACTTCTCTCCAAAATCCATATCTTCCAAAATTTTAAACAGAAAAGTCCAGTTTAAATTGTCAAAAGCTTTCTCTGTATCAAGAAATATTAAGGCAGCTTGTTTTTCATTGTGTTGCTCCAAGTACTCTAATACGTTAAGAATATTTCTAATATTATCCCTTAATTGTCTCTTAGGTAAAAAACCACATTGGTCTTC